TACTTTAAAGAAAAAAAAAATCCATTCTCTATCCCTACGTTTATCTTTTAATTGTAACATCAACCCCGTTTTTCCCCTAAGTAGAGGTGGGACAATGAGCACATCTGGTGGGACCCGGAGCGATTCTGTGGAACCACACATATCTTAGTCCCCACCAAATATTTGTGGATGCCAGATATGACTATTGAGGAGATGTAAGTTGGTGTTCAGTTCATATTTGCTCACATTCCTAAACAGATTGGAGTGAACGAAATTAACCAAACCAAACTAAGTCAAGTATAAAATGCCGCCAACTCAAATTCCAACAAACCCACTATAACATTAAAATTGTATTTTTTCCCTCCAAGCAAAACACTTGGTAAAAATGAGTAATTTTGTCTAGTTGCCTGACTGACATACCCCACAGTGGGTTAATTTGAAGGTCACTGTCTGTATTCATTGTTCTGTAGGACAGAGCAGGACAAAGCCTCTCCAAGTCCAAATCTCAACATCAGGAACTATGGCTGGGTTGAATTCAGAAATGACCAGGTGGTGATCAGCACATGCAAGATGCGTGTTTACAAATTCCCATTTGACGTTCAGAGCTGCAACATCTCCTTCAAGTCCATTATGCACTCAGGTAAACCCCGAAACATGTTTTATCTGACTTGCCACATGTGCATTTTCCATGATAAGATGAGAAGACTATAAAGATGTTTAGGTTTGTTTGTTTTTCTGGCACCAATGCCAATCTGACATTTGTGTTTTTATGTATTTTTACTTTTACGTATTCATGGCTGTTGTCTATTGTTCTATTGTATTGTATTGTTCTTATTGTTGTACTGCAGTCTTTCCCCTGTTTCCAAGACAAATTTCTCCTATGCGAGATTAACAAATGATCTTATTTTCTCTTATCTGTCTCAGATGAAGAAATAAAGTTATTTTACAACAAGAACAATTCGGAGATCTCAGAGTGGTCTCGAAAAGCTATGGAGACGCAATACGAGTGGCTGTTCGTCAGCATGACAGTCACAAGCAAAACTGTCAACCATTTTGGCTTCAATCAAACAATGATTGTTTACACGGTAAGTATTTTTAACAGCTCAGCTTAATGTCGTAATGTAGTTTTTTCTTTTAGCTTTGCATGAATTTAAATGCAGACAAATTTAACGTGCAAAACAAATTGGCTCCTGTGGGAGCCAGGAGGAGGGTTTTAGCGCTGTTAATCACACTCATGTGCGTGTTGTTCCCCACAGAAGAGCCTGCCATGAATGCACCGGTTAGTAAGAAAATTGTTTCTTCACCATTTGCACAGCCACAGCAAAACAGCAGTCTTGAGCTTGTACGCACTGACTGGGAGGGTGTGAGGCGAGCAGTGCATACAGGAGCGTAATTAGCAGCGCTAAGGCCCTCCTCCTTGCTCTGACTGGTTGTTTTTGGCCATTTGTTTTGGTGTATTTCTGCAGATGGCAGCAGGACCACAAGTAGGAGGCAGAGGAGCTTGATTTTTCACAGATCATCTGTCTCACAATATAGTGACAGTTTTCACAAATATGCAAAAAACATATTTATATAAAAGTTACTGCAGCTTTATGGTCAATGCATGATGCAGTTCTACCCCCTCAAATGCCTCTCAACTGTTGCTCACTGAATGTTTTGTCTTTTCTGACTACTCTATAAATCTGCAGTATATCAACAGTTTGAGACGCTCAGACTGTCCCACCTGAAACCAACAACCACGTCATTTAAACACAATTTTTCAGCATTCTGGTTATTAGTTTCAACCTCTTAAAGTCATATTTACAACCTCTAGATGCTTAAGCTTATGTTGTCTATGATTCACTATTAGTATGAACCACAGATTAGACAAGTGTTCTCACTGAAGTGGCCTGCAAGTGCAGATTGCATTAGTCCATCTAATGCAATCAATTGTAGATTGCATTAGAATCCTGAACTATATCATTTGGTTTGCTTCAAATGCTTTCTCACATTTCTCACACTTATGTTTTTGCAGAATGGAAGGAAATTAATTTCTCCTACATTTTTTCAGATAAACATGAAGCGGAGGTCTGTCCTCTACATTGCAAACTTCTTGCTGCCTGTCCTTTTCTTCCTGTGTCTGGACTTCGCCTCCCTCCTGTTGTCAGACACCGGCGGTGAGAAGGTTGGCTTCAAAATCACCGTTCTGCTTGCTGTCACAGTGATGCAGCTCATTCTCAATGACATTCTTCCATCTTCTTCGGACAAGATTCCCTTAATAGGTTAAACATTTTTTCTTTCAGGTTTTAGCTGTAAATATCAGCTAAAACCTGATATTTACATAAAAAGACCCAAGTACATTTCTGTTCACTTGTCTGAAGTTAAATCAGACCAAACTTTTTTCTTTTGGCTTAGTTAGAAATACTAAGATTGTTTTTATTTGCTAGATGTCAAAAAAAAAAAAAAAACTTAGCAAGGAGATTTTTTTTGTAACTTCCTTCATATTCAGACGCTTGCATACATTTGATCAGTATCAGAGCTACTTTGAACTGTATGACTTGGGTGAAACTTATTAGATTTCCTTCCGCAAGCTTCTCTTAATAGCTTGCTGGAGTTCTGGTCTGTTCTTCCTGACAAAACTGGTCGAACTCAGTCAGGTCTGTTGGCTGCTTTATTCTCTCACACTCTTTCAGTTGCCATCTATTTTAGGAAGTGCACCAGTTCCTCATGCAGCAAAGCAGCCCTACAACATCATGCTGCCACCGGGTGATACTAGCATCCCCTGTTTACACTCCAAACGTAACAATGCATGTAAACTTATGAATTCAAAGAACGTTACAGAAGAAGTCCTAAAAAATGCTCTTTTCAGAATTGTTTCTGGCATTTATTAAATGTAAATAGTTTTGGTAATTCTAACTAACCTAAAAGAAGAGAGGTTTGATCTGATTTAACTTCAGGGAGTGGGAATAACGTGGATGTGTCTTTATACTTGGTGTATATAAATATCTGTTTGCTCCCCCTCAGCGGTTTATTGCATTGGGACTTTTGCTCTTATGCTGCTCAGCCTGTTGGAAACTATTTTGGTGATTCATCTAATTAATAGAGACGCGTGGCAGGACATTGAACAGGACAAGACAAAAGACCCAGTTGAAGGTCAGGAGGAGAAACTCACCAACTCGCACACCTGTTTTATTGGAGAGATCAAATTTTAATCAGTTCGAATGTTCACTTGGTGATGTTCTGTTTTGATTCGAATGCTCAAGCCTGGACAAAACGTAACTTCATTTTTTCAGGAATCAAGACATGTAGCAGCTGTGCATCTGTTAGCAAAAACTCAGCTGATGGAAGGCTTTCTATTGGAAAAGAGGTAAGAACTTTAAAAGTAGCATCTTTCTGTATGACTTTCGTATACGAGTTTGATGACAAACATGTCTGCAGGGCAGCGAGGGCGGAGTTACCGAAGTCTCCATTGCACTCGAAAAGATGTCAGATGAGCTTGGAGAAATCAAGAAATCAATAACTCTTCTCAGCAGCAGACAGGAAGAGGATAAAGCCGGTTACTGGACCAGAACTGCACAGAAAATAAACAAGGCTTTTGCAGTTTTTTATGTCACAGCAGCTGTCCTGTTTTTACTGTTTGTCTCTATAATGTGGTATTCTGCAGATGAGTAGTGACTAAATGAACAAATAGTTAATTTTTATTTATTTTGAACATCGGCATGTTTTACTTTTCCGCATTTTATTAATTTCAAGAAGTGTTTGTGTGTTGTCCGATCATTTATTTTTTCCCCACCGCATAATTTTGCTTTGCTAAAGCTGGTGATTTGTGCAACAGTGTTATTAACCAACTTTTGGCGCCACTGAAAAATGATAAACAAGAGAATGATTATGCCTGAAAAGTGGATTAGTATGCGTTATCCATAATTCAGCAAAAAAGATTTGAAATTTGAATTATTGAATTGTGTGGTTATATGTGAAACATTACTATATGCATTTTTTTAAAATAAATACAGAAGGTGTTTAAGAAATTGATGGGACAGTCTAAAGTCACAAACACCATTTTATGATATTACATATTGTTCTACCAGAAAAACATCCATTTCATTTGTCTTGGTAAATTAAAAATTTTGTGCATTTAAGCCTAGTCCTAAATCTGTTCTATTTGTTACATATTGTGCTAAACCACCCGAAATTTGTGAACCGTTAAACTGAATAAATGGTTGAGAAATCCAATACCATGTTGAAATGTGTGCTTTTACTTTGAAAGTAAAGTCCTTTTAACGCTCAGAAACTGTCATTCTGTAGGCAGTAAATAACTGATTATTTCTGACATAACATAAAATGCATGATTTTGCAATCTTCATGCTATGCCAAGTGTTGAACAGCCCCCACAAATAAATAGTTTGGAAACATTTTTCTGCATCTGGTTTCTGCATGCATGCGTGTATCAGAACATCAAAAATATTTTTTATATGTTGAAAATATTTAGAGAAATATTTTTTTCTCTAAACAACCTTAATTGATAGAGGCAAACATTGGATATTATACTGGATATATTTTAAGGCAAACCTTCAAAAAATAATGTTTCCTTTGCATGGCAACAAATGAAAATCAGCCAAGACACCAGAAAGAGATTTGTGGACCTAAGATGTCAACCCATAATGATGATCAGGTAGAGATGGACATGACTTGATGTGACAAATCACCAGAACAGAAGTGAAAGACTTTGTGAAAATGGGTCACTATCAACAAGGAAATGGGCAGCCATGCCACTCAGTGAGAGAGCAGTGATTACTTCAGAAAAAAAGTATGAGATAATGATTAGTGTTGAAGAGCATTAATTGCTGGTTTTAACCTGCATGATTAATCCCTTCAAAGTTCAAAACGTTTGGACATTCAGAAATATGCTGGTCCAGACCAACTCAGGATATATTTTCTGAATAAAAGCTTCACTTTTCATCAAGAGAGCCCTCTCCCATTTTCAAGCAAAGCCTTGTGGTGAGTTAGTCCATTACTCTTGGATCTTTACAGCAGTTGTTGTCAAAAAACAATGATCCTACTGCTCTAGGAAACTCTCTATTTCCAGTTTAAAACTAAAATATCAAAATCTCACATAAGTGATGCATCTTCTTTGCTAGTTTCAGTCACACCAGTCAGGCTTTATACAAGAACAGAGCATTTTAACTGCAATAATCTTTGTCATAAGTCATAAAGATCGTCAATTGTTTTTTCTAATAAAATCTGAAAAGAGTGCATTTTATTACAGTCTCTAAGTCAACACTCTGCAGAACTGCCTTTTGAAAAGCGTTTTTCATTATGTCCAACTTTTTATATAAGACAAATAGCCCAAGCGAATGAGATGAAGGGCATCTGTTAGCATAATTTTCAAGATTTTATTTTTAAAGATTCTCAATTGAATATAGCTCTGGATTTTAACTAGGCTGTTTTAATACATGCATTAAATTATTTTCGAAAGCTTTTAAATTGCATCTTGCATTGTGGCCCCAATACTTTGGTGCTTGTTGCTAAAAGGACTTTTTATTAGTTATTCTAACTCTAACTTCCTGGAAAAAAGCCTCTTCTATTTGTCGTATCTTCACAAAGCACTACTCATCCCAAACCACAACGGAAATTAGAAATGCTGTTAAACAGACAGACTCTAAGTGCTAAGGAGGTTGGCTTTGCTTGGTAGTGTTTTTAACACATCACATCTTAAGATTGCTCGAACAGGACAGAGCTGCAGACTGACCTCTCAGACAATGATTTTCACTTTAACTTGCTTCATGTTTCTCCTCACAGGTAAGACGAGATCATTTCATGCAGTGGATAATGTTTTAGAGGTGCTGTTCACTTAGCAATTTTTGAACTCCATTCATAAGAAATATTTGATCAAACTGAATAATAAATATTTCATAACAATCTCAATTATATAAGAATACATTTGGAATGCTCTAAGAAACAAATGGTGCCGTTTCAGATAAAAATTTAAATCAGTCACAAGGATGAAAGTTTAAGTGTTACTATATCGCAAAGTGTGTTCCCAAAACAGCTTTTACCTTAAGATGTGGGACCACTAGGACGGGATGTCATCTATGTATTTAGATCATTTTCTGTGTGTTTATGGTTTATCTGACCAAATGTATAACAAAAAAATAGCTTCACTATTTTTGTTGTCTATTACTGATGTATAAACATCCATACTTTAATCAAACTCAGTGTCAATACTAGGCCTGTCGCGATAAACGATAAATCAATTAATCGCATGATAAATTAAACCTATCGACCTCATTTTAATTATCCTATCGACCTCATTTTAATTATCGGCTTTATCTCTCTTCCTGCCTTTTTTTTTTCTTTCTCTTGATGACACTGAATGAAAAAAGGCTCAGCTCCGGTGCTCTGCACTGACCCTCCCTTCCTCATTTCCTTAGTGCAATGTCCAGCGCACACGACACTAGCTGTCAGCCGACTGTCGACCCATTTTCAAAACCTGAGAGACACATTAGCCGACAGAAATCCTAGGTATAACGGTTCAATCGGGTTCGACCGTGCTGTGTCAAAGAATGGGCACAAAATAATGGCTACAAGTCCAGTTAACTAATTTTAAAATCAGGCACTAATCATTGCTTTTCTAGCATCTACCTGTGATGCATGTGGCTAGAGTCAGCGTAAAGTCATGACTGAATGAAAATCATTATAACCTATTTATGTCACGTTAACGAAGAACAGTTGAAAAGTTACTGGGTTTATCAACTGCGGTAGCAATTTGACTCCAACTCCTCCCCTTGTCATTTCTATATTATTTGCACGAAATGTTGAATAAATATTAATGTTGTTTCCACATATCATCTCCGATGTCCGCTGGACTTCGGGTTGCGCCGTGTCAGCTGTTTGGGATTCCCCTCCGTAATTTCCCCCCAGAAATCACGGAGGAGAATCCGCGCTTTCTGATTGGCTACTTGTCACATTCAACTGTTAAGCTCCCAGTCGGGAAAACCCCTGATTTAGATCGGAGCGGCCACGACAATCTACCGTAACACACCACACACTGCAGGATGATTGGTTACGAAATCATCAGCGAGAATCTTAGATCGGCCAACGATCTAAGATTGTCATAAGGGGAAATTAGGGGCAAAAAATCGTGTAGTGTGAACTATTGCATTAGGTAGTCGGATGTGCCCATCTTCTCTATTTAAATCTAGTGATTACTGAAGGGCAATATAGTATACAGACTTCATAATCTGCACTCTTTTGGTTGAATGCAGTATTTATTTCCACTTTGGCTTTATGTTGTTTACTTTTTATTCAAGTACGTTTTTTTGTTAATGGAGACTGAGAATCCATTTTATTTTTGTTTTTGTTAATTTAGTTGATCAGTTCTAGCGCTGTGTGTTCTTTTGAAAATAAAATGTATTCATCTATGGCAGGAATGTATGGCAGGAATTACAGATGTATTCATCTATGGCATTCATCTAAGTGCTAAGGAGATGAATGCATTTTTATGTCATTTCCATTAAATCAGTGTCAAAAGGTCTTGAAACAATATTATCGTTTATCGCAGTAATTTTTTAGACAATTAATTGCTCAGCAAAATTTGTTATTGTGACAGGCCTAGTCAATACACTGCTTTGTAATTTATGCCAATAAACATAAAAAATAATTAGCAAAATTTATTTCATAAACTTTTATGAACCAGTTCAAAATGGATCACTGGCTGCCACAGCTTGGAGCTCTGACAGTTGATCAGACTTTCCTGATGTGTTTTCTATTTAAAACACAGAATAATATGGGTGAAATTTAACACATTTAGAGCTTATAAAAAATGTCTTGCAATTACACAGCTTTGTATAGATTCCTTCCTGGAGTGCTGAGTTTTGGAGAAAAAAAATGGAACCCAAGAAAGGTTGCATATCTTTTTAAATTGAGTGGACATGCAAAAAAATGTAAAGTGTTTGTCGTCCAACACAAAGGTGGATTTATATTCATGACGGCAAATGTGTATTCAGAAAATACTGATAAGGAAATGTGTATTCTGCTCTGTTAGGCAGCTGTGTGTCACCAGATGTTCACAATGACCCACTGATGTCCAATCAGAGCTTTATGGACGTTTCAGGTAATCCAGTTTCTGGTAATCGATCTGCTCTGATGGATATTTTTTATTGTACAAATTACATTCCATTATTACTGTCTGAAAAATATTGCAAAAATTGAACATGAAAGGTAAAATCTATAAACAATTTATGCTGTGATTTTTTTCAATGACAGTTGAAAATGCAACAAGTCATATATTTTCACATTTTTCAAACTCGACACCAAACCAGACGTCTGATGACAAAGGTAAACCTGACTTATTTGTTTTTTGTAAATCATTGTGTTTAATCTAACCATGGGTTAATCTCCATTTTTAAATCCTTCAGTAGGAAATCTATCAGTAGAACAATATATTGTCATGCTACAATCACAGCATTCAATTGATCTTATTTCAAATTTATATAAATAACCTCCATAGCTTAAATAAGAATTATGAAGTGAAAGGAAAATTAATTATATAAATGTTATTTACAAATAAAAAAGAGAAAACTGTGCTGTGTGTATTTATTTTGTAGACATGCAGTAACAGCAGGAGGTCTTTGCTCATCACTTGATCATTCCATATTTGTTTATTTGCTACCCTGATCTGCATTTAACTCTAACCGTTTTACAGTAATGCAGTTATTCATTACTGTAACAGGAACATTTACCAATCACAAATCAAGACATTTTTAACTATTCAATTGGATTTTTAATTTGGACTTTGGCTTTCCAACTATTAATGAACAAATTAAATATCATGAAGTAATGTTACATTCCAGCTCATTGCTTTGCCAAAAAAGTTTTCCTTTCACTTTACAGCCATGCACAAAAAATATTCAAATATATTTAAAGTCTTAATGTGAGAATTGGTGATTTAGTAATTGCACAGCACACAGCATGTAATCAAAATTAAAACTATGGAAATGAACATTTTTCAAACTCTTTTACTGTTCTAACAAAACTTGTGAATTCTTGGTTGAGAGTTTTTTGACTACCAAGCAGCAATGAGGAACCATAACACAATAAGACTTTGCGTTTTGCCATTTTACACACCAAGCATTACATGAAGGCTTGATTGCATTTTGTGATTCTCCTGTTTTTCTAATCATAAAGTTTTTATTCTGCTTGCAGCACCCACCTGCAGTTATCA